CAGTACAATCTGCCCCTTTGAAGAAAGCCTTTGAGTCTTTCCAAATTTCTGCGGTACTTTAGTCCCTTCAGCGGTGCCGTGTTGACTGTCGGTATATGGAATTGATGAAGTGTTTGAAGTGGTTTATAATGGCTATCCGAGTACAGAACCAGAGTACCAAAATCTTCACTGCTGCATTGTAAGACGTTTTCAAGCTACTGGACTGGACAGGATACGGTATTAACATCAATGGTGAGTACAACACTCACATTCGATTTGCCGACGATATTGTCCTTATGACAGAATAGCTGGAAAACCTAAGCACTATGCTCAATAATCATAATAGTGCCTCCCAACGGATGGATCTTAAGATGACCATGGACAAAACAAAGATCATGTGTAATGTTCATGTAACACCTTTGCCGGGAGTTGTTGGGAGCACTAAGCTCAAATTTTTTGACGAATATGTTTACTTGGGATATATAGTCTGCCTAGGTAAGTCTAACTTCGAACGAGAGGTCAATCGACGGATTTAACTTGGTTGGGCAGCGTTTGGGAGATTTCGACACATGTTCGCGTCAGGTACCTCAAAACTAACGAGACTGTAAAACCAGCGCGTGTTGCCAGTGATGACCTATGGAACTGAGACGTGACTTATTAGACTTATTAGTCTAGTGGTCATAATCATGTCTACTGATCATGTGCCACGGGATTCGAATCCTGGTACAGGCCAAAATTCTGTTAAGTATTTGAGTTTTCTGTCAAGGAATTCACTGTACCAGTCGGAGTCATTAAGTTGGCGGTGTTTCACTTCCGTGCCACGGTGCCTCATTCTGCGCTGTTTTCTCTTGTCGTATCGGGTTGCTGACCCATCGGAATATGAGAACAAGAGAATAGAGAGTACACCTCTGCTTGCGCGTACACTCCAGCACTACAATCCTGTCCTGCGCAGATAGCTAACCTCCGTTGAGACTGGCCACCATGGTCAAAATTTGGTCTGAACTTTGTAATAAACTAAGTGGGTTATAAAATTACTGTGAATATTTTAGGAGTTATATAGAGAAACTGCCGGTCTGTTGGCTTCCGAAAGTATAATGCAATATTATATACTTTTCTTGACTTGATCGGGGAAGCATCACGCTCACACATAATACCAGATTGAATAAGCGAGAAAAGGGAGACCCATTTGATTTTACGCATTTTTCATTCATTATATGCGGGATAGCCACCATGGTGGTAGAGCCTCGCCAGATATCTTGTTGCACGAATGGCTTGGTTCAACCGGGGAAAAACCACGCTCTGCTATTCTTACGCATCAGCGTAAGAATAGCAGCATTTTTCGTAAAGTATTTGAATGTATTACAAGTAATTATTTTCAGTGTTTGTCCTTTAACAATTTAGTATGTAAACCGCCACGATACAGGAGAAAATGCTAAATTGCTTTCGTTTTATAGAAAAAATTACCCTACATCCTTAAAAAACCCCTTAATGTAGCTGCTGCTCCCCGGTCTGAATATTTTATGCCCGGTTCATCTGCATTTTGATTTTTAATAACCTTTGTAATCGTAATAGTTGTAATATTTTAGTTACCTTTAATTTCATTCTATGTTATATTATTAATTGTATATGATTTGATCTTTACGTTGATCTTTCTTTTCTTTACGTTGTTTCACGTCAATGCCAAGATAAGGTTAAGATACTGTGTTTTTTAAAAGTTGGCTGTGGCAGAATACCAGCGGTGATCTCAAATCACCACATAGCTGAGTCACAGGCCAGTTTGTCTCATTTTTTTAATGTATGTTTTCACTTAAGTATGTTGCTAGATAAATTTGTGATAATTTTTTTGTACAATTTTAACTATCATGTGTGAATTGAGACAAATAAAACTCTTTATTATTATTATTGGGGTTATCTATAAAGTTTTCTCATCTGGTTGGGCTGTTTAAATATATAATTATAAACGAAATATATAAACATACATAAATATCAATAAAATAATATAAATACATAAAAAATACATAAATATATAAAAAAACCCAACCAGATGGAAGCCCTCGGCAGGGGAGACCAAACGGCCGAGGGTTAGGGGGAAAGGGAAAGAAACCGGCGGACGATGCGGGCGGTATCGAGGAGCACCGCCTTCTGCATTTGAGCTTGGAGCGGTCCGTCACGGAGTCCCAGTCGCCTCAGATGACCCGAGAGGCTAACTGGGATTAACCCGTTCGCAGAAACGACCACAGGAATAATTTCGGCCGGCAGACCACCCCACATGTCGGTCACCTCGTGAGCCAGGTCCAGATATTTTGTCAGCTTATCTGTTTCGGCTTTCACGAGGTTCTCGTCATAGGGAATGGTAATGTCGACCAAAAATATCCTTGACTGTGCCCGGTCCATCAGCACAATATCAGGCTTATTCGCAAAAATAGTCCTGTCTGTGATGATGGCCCGGTGCCAGTAGAGCCTGGCGCGGTCATTTTCGAGCACGGCTTCCGGCAAGTACTTATAATATGGCAGTTTCCGATCCACGAGACCGTATTTCAGAGCGAGCTCCTGGTGTAGAATCCTGGCTACTAGGTTGTGTCTGTGCAAATACTCAGAGTTAGAAAGCACCGAACAACCGGAGATGACATGCCTAAGTGACTCACCGGGATGGCGACAAGCTCGACAGATGTCGACGGTGCCATCCTTTAGGATGTATTTCCGATAATTGTTGGTCTTAATAACCTGATCCTGTATTGCACAGATAAAACCCTCAGTTTCCCCAAAGAGGTCACTGAAACGTAGCCAGTGGAGGGAGGCGACTGTGTCTACGAAAGGCTCATGAAGGGCCTTGTAGAACCTCCCGTGGAGCTCCTTCTCCTTCCATACGGACTCCCGGTCGGAAATGCTCTGTACTGCCGGGTCTTGCCATTGCTCGTTGGCTAAGGATAGAGGGGTTAGCCCTTTATCACAAGAAATAACGTCCCTATAGTATGGATCATCCGCTCTCGACAGAAAATAATTACGGAGGCTGCACACTTCGCGATTATGCAGGGTAAGCGCGCTTAAAAAGCCGCGCCCACCATGCTTCCGCGGCAAGTACAGCCTCATTACCGACGATCTCGGATGATGCACTCTGTGGGACGTCATTATAGTGCGGACTTTTCTGTCCAGAGCGTTCAGTTCGGTCTGAGTCCACCTGAGTATGCCAAAGGTATACATGAGAACAGGCATGATCCAACCGTTATATGCGTGCGTCTTATTCACACCGGACAAAAGGCTATTAAGCACTTTGGTCAAGCGTGCATAAAACACATCGCAAACTGACCGTTTCATACCCGACTCATCTACACCGATGTTCTGTGACATACCCAGGTATCGGTATGTTTCAGCCTCGGAAAGGGTCCTTATGCTGATGGGCATAGATAAGTCTATGCCCTCAGAGTTAGCAACCCTTCCCCTTTCGACATGGAGGATCGCACACTTATCCGTCCCCAGCTCCATTCTAATAGAATTGCTAAAATCACAAGTGATGTTTAGCAATTCCATAAGATGAGAGCGACTGGAGGCGAATAATTTGAGATCATCCATATAGAAAAGGTGGGTCACTTTTGTACCTCCTCTCCGAAGCTGAAATCCCCTCCCGGAGCCCTCCAGTAAGGTACTGAGAGGGTTCAGAGAGAGGCAGAACCAAGTTGGACTCAAACAATCGCCCTGGAATATACCCCTTCTTATCCTTATGTGGTTCTCCGCAGCCGTCATCCGCTCGCCTAGATGACAAAGGATCGTACTCAATTGCCCCATACACTGCCCGAGGAAGTCTCGAACTGTACAGTCAACCTTGTACAGCTCGAGGACCCTCTTAAGCCATGTATGAGGCACCGAGTCGAATGCCTTTTTGTAGTCTATCCAGGCGGCGGAGAGGTTCCGACGGTTGCGTTTAACCACCTTGCCAATGACCGCGTCAATGAGGAGTGGTTCCTTGGTTCCACGACCACCGCCCCGACATCCATTTTGAGCGCGCGACATCACCTGGTTTGAGTTCAGGTGACGAATGATTCTCGCGCTCAAAATATATGGATGTTAGTGTCTTGTATATGGTAGGTAGACACGTTATGGGGCGGTATTTGCTCGGGTCTGTGGAATCTCGGTCTTTAGGAACCAAATGAGTGATCCCAGTAGTGAAGAGGCTCGGGAGCGACTTTTGGTCGAGAGCCTCTTGAAACTGTCGGGCGAGCACAGCGTGACACACCATGAACCCCTTCAGCCAGTAGTGATGCAGTCCGTCGAGTCCCGGACTTTTCCAATTCGGGGCCCTACGGACCGCCTCAGCTACGTCATCCGGCGTTATGAGGACGGGGTCCATGGGCGTAACATTCGCACACTGACTCGCCACGACTTCCGTCCAAGGGCCCTCGCTGTGGTTTACGGGCTCTGACCACAGGCCGCGCCAGAATGCGATAGTGTCGGCCTGATTCGGTGCTGGGCCCGTTCCACATACCATTGGTCGCTCCAGTGATTCATAGAGCCTCTTCTGATCACTCTGGAAGAGACGATTCTGGTTGAACCGTGTCGACCTCTCGGTATATCGCCGAATCCGCTTCTCGAAAGCAGCGATTCTCTGCTTCAGGTCGTCTATGCGCTCCGTCAGTTTTTGCGTTATATCCGGCTGGGACAAACTGATATTTGTCCCAGCAAACGCCATCCTGACGGTGCGCACAATTCTCGGCCTGTTATTGCCTGACCTGAAGCTTATCAGTCTGCCGATAAGGGCCCTTGCCTTTGCGATACGGTCCTCAATCCTTCTTCTCCAGGCTGGGATGGCGCTACTTTGTCTAGTAGCGCGTCCAGCCGTGGGAACTTTGGCGCCAATAATGCGGCAAACTGCTAGTGCGGCGCCAAAAAGAATTGAGTCCGTCTCGCAAAGGTCCCGGCTGGCTTCCAAATAGGTCACCAGCATTGGGTTGAGAGCCCTCACGACAACCCGATTCCGCTTGCTTAGGGGCATGCGCGGGAGTCGCGGTCGATTTTCGAGAGGCATACTGCGCGTTTCCAAAATAGCCTCTTCCAATGTACTCCTCATTTGCTCTAGTTCTAGTTCCTGGGCGACTGTTCCATCATCGTCTGAACCAACCATAACTGAAAGATTCACGGCGGCATGCACGTGTGCTGGTTGCTCTGCATTTTGTGGCGCCACATCCTCAGCCGTAGCATTGTCATCCGATGAGGGTACAGCCTCACGTCGTAGCCGTTCGAGTTCGGTGCTATCGAATATGTTTGAGCGCAAGATATACCGAACTCGGTCTGCCAGGTTTTGCTCGGTGACGGTTATAGATGGCTCCAGCTCAGCAAAGAGTCGATGCATCCTAGCCCGATACGCAAATCCTCCAATTTCTCCCCCTTTCGCCCTAAAATACGCCCGCAATGCGTTGCTATTCATCTGCATTGACCAACGCATGCGGCGTACTCCACCAGTGGCGGGTGCTAATTGCTGGGCCCGCGAAGACCCTGCCAACACCAAGCCAGCTGGTGGGGATGATGGATGCGAGAGGCTGCTAGGTGGTCGTGCAGCACCTCGCACTCGGCTGGCGGCCCGCATGCTGTCGCGTCCAGCGCCAGCTCCAGACGCGCCCCGGCGACCCCCAGGCAGCGGCCCTAAACGCAGTCTATTTCCTTCCATCATCCATAAATTGGGCGTCAATTAACGGGAGACGCCCAGGCCCGGCACCGTTTCATGATTTGGCCGAAAGCACAAGCGGGCCCAAATTAGCACCCTCAATTCTGCCGAGGCACGGCGCTCACACCTCTTGGCAAGATGCTGACTGACTGCGCTGACGTAGCAGTTTTGTCACATAACCATTACGTCAGCGGGCGATGGGGTTCTTATTATTATTATTATTATTATTATTTTTGGGCTATCTATAAAATTTTCTCATCTGGTTGGGCAGTATAAATATATAATTGTAAATGAAAATGGTAAACATACATAAATATGAATAAAACAAAATAAATAAATAAAAAATACATAAATATATAAAAATCCAACCAGATGGAAGCCCTCGGCAGGGGAGACCAGACGGCCGAGGGTTAGGGGGAAAGGGAAAGAAACCGGCGGACGATGCGGGCGGTATCGAGGAGCACCGCCTTCTGCATTTGAGCCTGTAGCGGTCCGTCACGGAGTCCCAGTCGCCTCAGATGACCCGGGAGGCTGACTGGGATTAACCCATTCGCAGAAACGACCACAGGAATAATTTCGGTCGGCAGACCACCCCACGTGCCGGTAACCTCGTGAGCCAGGTCCAGATATTTTGTCACCTTATCTGTTTCGGCTTTCACGAGTTTCTCGTCATAAGAAATGGTAATGTCGACCAAAAAGATCCTTGACTGTGCCCGGTCCATCAGCACAATATCAGGCTTATTCGCAAGAATAGTCCTGTCTGTGATGATGGCCCGGTGCCAGTAGAGCCTGGCGCGGTCATTTTCAAGCACGGCTTCCGGCAAGTACTTATAATACGGCAGTTTCCGATCCACGAGGCCGTATTTCAGAGCGAGCTCCTGGTGTAGAATCCTGGCTACTAGATTGTGTCTGTGCAAATACTCAGAGTTAGAAAGCGCCGAACAACCGGAGATGACATGCCTAAGTGACTCACCGGGATGGCGACAAGCTCGACAGATGTCGACGGCGCCATCCTTTAGGATGTATCTCCGATAATTGTTGGTCTTAATAACCTGATCCTGTATCGCACAGACAAAACCCTCGGTTTCCCCAAAGAGGTCACCGAAACGTAGCCAGTGAAGGGAGGCGACTGTGTCTACGAAAGGCTCATGTAGAGCCTTGTAGAACCTCCCGTGGAGCTCTTTCTCCTTCCATACGGTCTCCCGGTCGGAAATGCACTGTACTGCTGGGTCTTGCCATTGCTCGTTGGCTAAGGATAGAGGGGTCAGTCCTTTATCACAAGAAATAACGTCCCTATAGTATGGATCATCCGCTCTCGTCAGAAAGTAATTACGGAGGCTGCACACTTCGCGATTATGCATGGTAAGCGCGCTTAAAAAGCCGCGCCCGCCATGCTTCCGCGGCAAGTACAGCCTCATTACTGACGATCTCGGATGATGCATCCTGTGGGACGTCATTATACTGCGGACTTTTCTGTCCAGAGCGTTTAGTTCAGTCTGAGTCCACCTAAGTATGCCAAAGGTATACATGAGAACAGGCATGATCCAACCGTTATATGCGTGCGTCTTATTCACACCAGACAAAAGGCTGTTAAGCACTTTGGTCAAGCGTGCATAAAACACATCGCAAACTGACTGTTTCATACCCGCCTCATCTACACCCATGTTCTGTGACATACCCAGGTATCGGTATGTTTCAGCCTCGGAAAGGGTCCTTATGTTGATGGGCATAGATAAATCTATGCCCTCAGAGTTAGCAACCCTTCCCCTTTCAACATGGAGGACCGCACACTTATCCGTCCCCAGCTCCATTCTAATAGAATTGCTAAAATCACAAGTGATGTTTAGCAATTCCATAAGATGAGAGCGACTGGAGGCGAATAACTTGAGATCATCCATATAGAAAAGGTGGGTCACTTTTGTACCTCCCCTCCGAAGCTGAAATCCCCTCCCGGAGCCCTCCAGTAAGGTACTGAGAGGGTTCAGAGAGAGGCAGAACCAGATTGGACTCAGACAATCGCCCTGGAAGATACCCCTTCTTATCCTTATGTGGTTCTCCGCAGCCGTCATCCGCTCGCCTAGATGACAAAGGATCGTACTCCACTGCCCCATACACTGCCCAAGGAAGTCTCTAACTGTACAGTCAACCTTGTACAGCTCGAGGACCCTCTCCAGCCATGTATGAGGCACCGAGTCGAATGCCTTTTTGTAGTCTATCCAGGCGGCGGATATGTTCCGACGGTTGCGTTTAACCACTTTGCCAATGAGCGCATCAATGAGGAGTGGTTCCTTGGTTCCACGACCACCGCCCCGACATCCATTTTGAGCGCGCGACATCACCTGATTTGAGTTCAGGTGAAGAGTGATTCTCGCGCTCAAAATGGATGTTAGTGTCTTATATATCGTGGGTACACACGTGATGGGGCGGTATTTGCTCGGGTCTATGGTATCCCGGTCTTTAGGAACCAAATGAGTGATCCCAGTAGTGAAGAGGCTCGGGAGCGACTTTTGGTCGAGAGCCTCTTGAAATTGTCGGGCGAGCACAGCGTGACACACCACGAACCCCTTCAGCCAGTAGTGATGCAGCCCGTCGAGCCCCGGACTTTTCCAGTTCGGGGCCCTTCGGACCGCCTCAGCTACATCGTCCGGCGTTATAATGACGGGGTCCATGGGCGTATTCGGTGCTTGGCCCGTTCCACGTACCATTGGTCGCTCCAATGATTTATATAGCCTCTTCTGATCACTCTGGAAGAGACGATTCTGGTTGAACCGTGTCGATCTCTCGGTATATCGCCGAATCCGCTTCCCCCAAGCAGCGATTCTCTGCTTCAGGTCGTCTATGCGCTCCGTCAGTGTTTGCGTTATATCCGGCTGGGACAAACTGATATTTGTCCCAGCAAACGCCATTCTGACGGTGCGCACAATTCGCGGCCTATTATTGCCCGACCTGAAGCTTATCAGCCTGCCAATGAGGGCCCTTGCCTTTACGATACGATCCTCAATCCTTCTTCTCCAGGCTGGGATGGCGCTACTTTGTCTAGTAGCGCGTCCAGCCGTGGGAAGTTTGGCGCCAACAATACGGCAAACTGCCAGTGCGGTGCCAAAAAGAATTGAGTCCGTCTCGCAAAGGTCCCGGCTGGCTTCCAAATAGGTGACCAGCATTGGGTTGAGAGCCCTCACGACAGCCCGATTCCGCTTGCTTAGGGGTATGCGCGGGAGTCGCGGTCGATTTTCGAGAGGCGTACTGCGCGTTTCCACAATCGCCTCCTCCAATTTACTCCTCATCTGCTCTAGTTCTTGGGTGACCATTCCATCATCGCCTGAATCAACCAGAGCAGGGAGATCCATGGCGCCCTCTATATGTGGCTGCTGGTCTGTGGCCTGAAGAGCCGCATCCCCAGCTATAGCCGGTTTATTCGATGAGGGAATAGCCTCACGTTGTAGTCGTTCGAGTTCGGCATCATCAAATATTTTCGAGCGTATGATGTACCGAACTCGGTCTGCCAGGTTTTGCTCCGTGACGGGAACTGACGGCTCAAGCTCAGCAAGAAAGCGATGCATCCGAGCCCGATACGCTGTCCCTCCAGTTTCTTCCCCTTTCGCCCTATAGTACGCCCGCAATGCGTTTATGTTCATATTTTTTGTCCAACGCATGCGGCGTACTCCACCAGCGGCGGGTGCCGCTTGCCGAGTCCGAGAGGACCCCGCCGACACCAAGCCGTCTGGTGGGGATGATGGACGCGAGGGGCTGCTAGGTGGTCGTGCAGCACCTCGCGCTCGGCTGGCGGCTCGCATGCTGTCACGTCCAGCGCCAGCTCCAGACGCGCCCCGGCGACCCCCAGGCAGCGGCTCTATGCGCGTTCTATTATTTTCCATCATCCATTGTTATTATTATTATTATTATTTATTTATTGTATTAAACTATTTAATGCTAAATTAATTAATTAACTTTTTTCAATTATCGTGGTTACAAGAATATGGTATATGAATTGTATTTTTATATTTTTAATTTTTTTTTAAAACTAACAATAAATAAATAAATAAAATTCTTAATTGTGGATTAATCCATCTTGTAGACTGTGAGCTCGTATCGCTTTTATATTAGTATTAATATTTATCGTAGTCGCCCTTCTTATTCTTATAATAAAATAAAAATTAAGATATGTACCATTTATTATATTTAACGGCTCCTTGGCGCAGTGGCTAAGCAATGAATTGTTGCGCTGGGGGCCGCGGGTTCGAATCTCGCACGGAACAAGTATTTGTATGACCTGCAAATAATTGTTCTGGGTCTGGATGTTTGTCCTCGTGCAATTTATATTTGTAAACTGCCTCTACGACAAAGGAAAAAATCCTAGTGTGGGGGTAGGGTTTAAAATATATACAGAAACAGAAACAGAAACAGAAACTTTTTTATTCAATATAGATTATAAATAATACTTATTGAAAGTCACTCTTTTGTTTGATTACCACTGGTTCGGAAAAAACCTCTGTCCTGGGAAGAACCAGCAAGAAACCCAGCGGGACTTTTTTTTAAAATAACAGCTTACAATCATGATGTTACACAAATTAACAACACAACAAA